AGCTGGTGAGATTAGATAAACGTCTGTGGGCAGAGCATCTTACTGGACTCTTTATCTTTCCCCCACACAGGGTCCCATTCTCCTGTGCTTGGTGATGATGGAGGAAGAGCAGGTATGGAGCAATGATCAGCCAGGCCACGGAGGTGTCAGTGAATCTACCCGTGAGAAGCATGCTGTGCTGAGCTCCTGTGCATAACCTGTAGAACAGCCTGTCTGCATTCCATGTCTAGAGTTCCCAGTGAAGCAGGGTGAAGACCTCGATGCCTTCAATGCAGAGGGCTACAGGGGACATGGATTCCAACAGTTGAGTGTGTATCTGGTTTCACTGTGTGTTCCTTGTACAGCGCAGAGCTGTGCTTCTCAGCAGGATGCTCCAGATGCTGTCACAGAAGACACCTCTTCCCTAGGCTCTGAAGGCCTACTGGCAACCTTGGGCCACTCCCTACAGCACCACATATCAACAGTGCCTCCGGTTCTTCAGGGGACATCAAACATTCCCACACATTACTAAATATCCCCACCTTAGACAGGCAAATTCAGGGGCCTCCGAATTTTACACAGTGATATGACTCCAGTACTTACGAACTAGTTTGGGAGGATCAAATGCACGGCAGCTCGTTATAAACTTAAAAGAGCTACCTGAGTGGCATCCAGACGCAGCCTTACTGGCAAAGTTAACGTGGGACTGGACACCTGGGTCCCAGACAGCCCTATTGCAGTTTTTTTCAATCTAGTCAATTACTAGCATATGAAACAGCTTCTGACTCTGAAAACACTTCCTCTAAGTGAGCATTTTGGGTTTCTATGTGTTGCTACAGATTAAAGCCACACTATGGCATGAGTTTTAGAGTAAGGGCAGATGGCAAAGCCATGGGCTACTGTAGATGACAGGGCAGCATGCTGGAGGCAGCTTCATGGAATCTGGTCCAGGTTGTTGCCAAAACTATCCTGGAGTGAAAATGACACCTGCCTTGGTGAGCAAGTGATAAAGGGATTGTGGATGACTTTAGCGATCAGGAGTACAAAACAATGCGGAAGGCGGCACTCTGCCCCACCCCCAGTATACAGGTTGGTTTCCAAAGAAACTACTCTGGGCATCTCCTTAAACTCTAGAGCAATGCTCCTGAAAGGGTATCTTAGAGGCCGGGCCAGACTACAACATACAAAGTCTCTTAAACTGTAAGCTCTAAGCAAAAGCTGAGATGGGGCAGGGATTCTCAGTGCTACAAATGGACAGTTTTGTCACAGACACTTGCCCCAAATAAAACAGTGGTTTTTATAGTCTCTTTCACCTGTTTACCTCCGAGACTTCTATATTCTCCTCGAGTTCCATTCATCTTAAAGACATAGAGCAGTAACACAAGGTCCCTAAATCTTTGGGCCTGGCCATCTGAAATGAGGCTTTCAGCCTTCCCTTGTCTGGCTTTCCAGAACACATTTCTACTGCGTTTGTGTGAGAGGAAAGGATACAAGAAAGGCAAATAGAAGACCATGAAGCCAAAAGAACATCCTACTAGAGCTTTTGGTAAGAGTGTATCCACGCCCTCCACATATGCCACATCCTTTCTGGGAAGACGTTGCTGGCCTGGACGCTGGGTTAGTGAAACCTAAAATACACCACACAAAAAGCACAGTTACCCTTCCAAAATAGGTCCCTTAATTAAGTCAAGCCATCTCAAGAGAATTGTTCTGTGTCGCGGCTTGACATATGCTGCTTTAATCTCACAGCGTCAGTAAATGCAGCCATATTGGGCTGCAAACGTGCACAGCAACTCACATTTAAGCCAGATTGTGGTGTCACTAGCAAATGGATGCAAATAAACAGCCCTGTGAACCAAAATACTTGATGTCAATCATCTGTAATGAGATCCCTCTCCTCCCTCAATACATTTCTACCCATGATTCTGAGGGAAGGACCACTCAGATTGCAGTACCATCTCATCTGCAGACAAACACATCTGAGGAAGCTGGACTGATGTCTAAACCATGAGACAGCCCTTCTGTTCAGATGCTGAGAGCACACTGTGAGAACCTCTCTTTCCTTCTGTGGACCATGGCTCAGTATAACTTGTCTGTCTGAACTCTTTAGGTCTGATTTTCTTGGAATCAGGAGGTAGCTTAACTCCTAATGAAGTCAGGCAGGTTCCTGAAGGAGGTAGCTTCCTGGCAGCCATCTCAGACCTCTGTATTCTGAGCCCTTTTCAGAAGTCTACATGTGTCTCATTAGATCATCTTAAAACATAAACCCTCATATCAGTGATCACTTGAGACATTTTCCTGGCTCTATCTCCGTCTACTGGCATTTGGACTATTTTCTGGGTTTGTGCACATGTGCTGCTGAATGCAGGGCATTTAGCAACATCCCTCCCATTACCAAACACTCTCGAGGTGTTTAGTGACCCCGGATGAGAACCACTGTTCTCTGTGTACTTATGTCTCACCGTGACATAGCCCAGAGGTGAGGGAGAGTCTTGGCTTTTCGAGAATCTTAAACTGACTCGTGATGAAGGATCTGAATCTGAGAAACACTTGTGTGTCAAACAATTCATACACAGCACTCACACTGTTCATTAACAGTGACAGGACCCAGAGGTTGACATATTTGCTACCCTGAGCCCCTGGACTGCTCCCTTCTCCAGAGCTCTGTTCTCAGAAGACTACTCAACAGAAGCCTCCACAAACCATCACCAGGTGCTCAGTACGAAACCAGTGGATGAGAGGGATTTTAGGGCTGGGTATCTGGTAACGTCACCTACAGAGGCAAGGCATGCCCAGTCGGATCCTGACAGCTACAGTGCTTTGGTGCTGGGCATTCACTAGAGAGGGAACTGTAAAGCAGGGGCCTCTTCTAAAAGCTCCCAGGGTGGGGCGGGACATGGACATAACACGGGAAGAAAAAGGACCTAAGAAGGGGTGACAGTCATTTAGTCCACAGGAGAACAGGTGGCAGAGGAGGAGCATATGAACATGGTGGACTAGTGTGTGTGTGAGAGAGAGAGAGTGAGGTGACCAACCCAAACCCTAAGAGCAGCAGGGGACTCAATGAATATTCAAGTGTTCATCACACCCTTCCATGTGCCAGGCACAGTGGTAGCAGGAAGGGCTCAACCTAAGTCCCTGTCCCACATACAATCAATGTAAAGAGCAGGCTGTTTTTCTTTCCACTCTCCCTCAACCCACTTTCTTTGCAGCAAGTTAAGATAACTGTCCTTTGTCTAAGAGCTCATTCTTTCCATCCTTCATTCACACACAACAAAATTCTCTCTCTCTCTCTCTCCTGTACAGTTCTGTAGGCTTTCACAAAAGCCTACAGTTGTATAAATACCACAACTAAGATATGGGACAGTATGGTCACTCTTCTCAAGACAATTTCCTTGTGTTCCCTAATTGTTTATTTGATTATTCATTAAGAGAAAACCATCTGGGGTCAGCATAATGATTCAATGCATGCATACAGTGTCCAATATCAAATCAGAATGAGCATTCAAAACTCCTCATGTAAGTATTTCTACATGCTTGGAGCCTTTGTGTTCTTTTTTAGTTGTTTTGAAATATATCCTATGTTGTAATAATCAGTACTTTCCCAGTGGGCTGGAGGAACCTACTCCTTCTGTCTCACCACCTTATATATCAACAAGCTGCCTTACTAAAGACCAGTTCCTTATCTCCAAGATGACTTGTATCCCCTGGTTAGAAATTTTGTTGAAGAGCCTTTGTGGCTCTTTAGAGATTATCATAGAGACTTCCTGAGGCCATGTCCATGTCCTTGATTCACAGATGGAAATGTGGCCTTAACATCAGCACCCCTCTACTGTGACATGGCTGATTTGCTCCCAAATATAGGTAAAGGCTTACCCCCAAACCAAATTCTTGGGTCTCTATGAAGTTACATAACCATAAGGGGGTAAAATAAAAACAAAGGTTTGGAAATAAAAGCCTATACAAACCAAAAGTGTTATTTGCTTCACTGCTGTCCCTTCTTACTAATATGAATGAGAATTGTATCATACTTTAAACAAAAGCTCCAACAAGTGACCTCACTCAGTTGCAAGGTGGCAGGAAGGGAAGTCAACTTAGCTGTGCTTGTGTGAGAATGGCTTCCTGGGGTTCCAGGAGGAGGCCCAGGTCACAGGGGTCCCCCAGCTCATTATGGAGTAAATGATGGAGAAGTGGCTATGGTGCTCCCTGTGAAATCACATGTGTGTGTGATCAACCCATCCTGCAAGTCTTTCTGCTGAAGACATGCACCTTTTGAGTGGTTTTGCTTCAATGGCAGATGTACTCCCCAAACAAGCATGGTGGCTGTGGAGCATCACCGACTGTGCCCAGCACTTCTCAGTTCAATTATTCCCACAACAATCTTGTGGAGTAGGAAATACTAAAGGCCTTGGCCTACAGAAGAATCATAGAGGTTATAAAACAACCAATAGGGGCTGAGGAGTTCTAACCTGGACCCAACTCTAAGGACTGCCCTCCTCACCACCAGCGAGGTTGGGATGCTGCTACTCTGGGTCTCTCAAGCTATTGCTCCAGCCTGGGGCAAGCTCCCAGGAATCTGTGCTGCTCACCTCTTTCCATTTCCCATTCCTCAAACAGCTAACCTCTCTCTGGTCTCAGCATGCAGGCTATTTCAAGCCCCTGCTTTGGAGACAGTACTTCTTCTGGTCTGTGAGTTTATTACTCCTATTACACGGCTGGCTTAATACGGAAACTAAATTGCCAAGGGTATCTTGGGTTGTGCATCTGAGCTTTCCCAAATCTATACTTACTAGTTTTTAGAAAACCCTGGATCACCTAATACCATTAGCTTAAACAAGAAAAACAGCATGCCGTCAGAAAACACTAATTCATTGCCACATTTCATCAAAAACTTTCATATGAAGTTTAGTGCAGATTTAACAGATGGGCAGGGCAGAGCAGACCAGGGCAGGGCAGTGGCTTCCCCTCATTGGTACCATTTTACAACTAAATGTGTTAGAAATAAACTTGATAACACTTACCCAAATTTCCACCAACTATCACAAACTTTATATACACCACATGTCTTCTAAACCACCGGTAGGACTGACTCTGAAAAAACAATGCAAATAAACACCTTATTCGCAATCCGCTTTAAGCCGCCCAGTGCTCATTCTTTGTGGCTCTTCACCATGTGGAACACCCATCATGCAGCAACAAATTCCCTACCAGCTGCCCCTTTGCTGTGCACAGGAAAATGAAACCAATTTACACATTTTCTTAGCATACATGAGTTAGAAAAAAAAATCTGTGAACAATCGAATCAATCAGAAACTGTGCTTACAAATAAGAATTTCCAATCCTTTAAAACAACCAAAGGTAAGAGAACAATGGGGAAACACCTAAGATTAAACTTGTAACATTTCCCCTTAGAGCCAATTCCTCTCCTTTTTATCACAGCACTCTTCCTTCTGCCTAGTTCTGGGAGGTCCCAGGCTACTTTCCTCTCTCTTCTTCAGTGGATCTTATTTAACTATCTGTAAAATAGGAATTGTTGTGACCAACCTCACAGTGTCATTGTTACTGTTAAATCCAATCAGTTAAGTCACTCACACGACACAGGTTTTAAAAGCAGCAGACACATGGTAAGTGCTGAGTGAATGGAAGCTCTGCCCTTCGTGCTCCTCATTGCCCCCATCTGAGTCCTAACATGGCTTGGCTTCTCACCTCTGCTGCACATCAGGCCCACGCAGCAGGCCTGCTGCTGAGCCCACACCCAGGCTGGGGCTCACTTCACTCTACCCTTCCCTTCCTAAAACCTGTATATTACCCATGAGATGAATCGGCCTGGACTCACATTTGCCCCAGCTTGATTTCCACAGGTTCTCAATCAGGCGGAAGCACAGCGGCCACCTCACCTGCTGCTGGGCCTATACCAGGCCTGCGCCTCCCCTGGTCCCCTTCTGTCCTCACCCCTACTAGTAAGAGGCCCAGGTATTTTCTTTCTGAAGAAATACTTTGCCTTTCTGAACTATGTCAGTCTACAGAATTTTTTCAGAATTCTAAATGGAATTTTTATTGTTTTTATTGCTTGTTTGTTTGTTTTTTTAAGAATAATGTCTTTAAGTACTTGAATTAACATATGAAATGCAAAGAATTTAAGCCACAAAATGAATCCATAATCAGTTATCAAAATTTTTCATAGCAATACAGTGGGACCCTGTCTCAAAAAAATTTTTTAACAAAGTTGAGATGGACTTCCCTCAATATTTAAACAATTTTCTGCAAAAACTAAAGTAAGTGCCATTTTTAAGTATCTTTAAATGAAAAATCATATTTCATGATGTCCTTGATTGTAATATAATATAGAAACATTCACAATACTATCCATAGTCTATTCTATACAGACCTAAAACTATTCCACAATAAAAATAAATGCTGAATTTCAGTTCAAGGTTAAGGAAAATGAGGAGTAGATTTCTTCCCCTTTAGGTCTCTGACCCCTTTAATTCCAGCCATGTCCTTAGTCCAACAACACCAGCTTTAAGCCTCTCCTACTCTCCTAACTCTCATCTTGATTTTCCTAATTTGGTATTACCTTCAATTCTTGTTTTTCTAGTCTTTTGTATTAGATTTTGATACACTTTCTATTTCAAGTTTTAAGCATTTTAACTTTTTATTCCTTGTAATAACACTCTCCCCTATCACCAGCATGGGAAGGGAGGTATTCATCGGTACTGTCTGCATCAATCAGAGACTAAGTTAGCTGATTGGACAAGCCTGACTAACATTAAAATTATCTCATCTCTCTTTGGCAGCCTATGAGGTCCTAAATATGTAGATGGACACCTCAGCATTCTATATTTAGATTACAAATGACTGAAGTTAGGCAACAAAATGTTCTCTTCCTTTTAGAGAGTGGATGCTTCATCTGTGTTGCTGACTGACAGATCTCTGGGAACAGACCAGCTGTTCACGTATTCACTGACAAGTAACACCCTGGATGCCTAAGAGATAAGCACACTCCTGCCTTCCTGGAGCACCAAGTCCAGCAGTTTCCCTCGGCTGGTCCAGAGCAGCTAGGAATCTCTCCGCCTCTCAGGCTCTTGCAAAGCAAAAAAAAAAAAAAAAAAAAAAAAAAAAAAAAAAAAAAAAATGGTGAAACCATGTTGGCAAGGCCAGTTAGCACCACTTGGCATCTACTGGAAACTGGACCAATATCTGATTTCCTGCCAAACACCTAGACGTGAAGCTGTGGTGCTGGAGCAAGCAGATCAAGCAGACGAAATGGTGAAATCCCAAAACCTCCCCATCGCCCCAGGATAATACCTTTGCATGTGAGGCCAGAGATGACGACCATCTCAGGTAGGTCTGTTTAACATCTGGCCACATCCGGCATTCCAAGCCCCACTGTATCTGTGATGAGTCAGACCCATGATGGACAAGACCGTCCATACTATCCTTTTGCCTAAGTGACTTCAGCAAGAGATAACTGTGTATCTTTTGCCAAAAACAAACAAACAAACAAACAAACCAGGACAGTTCTCCCTTTTTAAATGAAGAAAGCATAATGATTTTCTCCATTGGAAATCAGTAATCAGGGCACAGTGACCAATTGCTTTGGCAGAAATTTACCACTGGCAGAATTTTCTACACCTAACATCATGTCAAGTGACTCTCAGGATACGTGGGTGTGTATTCTTCTCCAGCAACGCCCAAAGTTAATGAGCTATTGACTGTAAGAACAAGGGGTGGGCTTGGCACATAGCCCTCTATATTTAAGCCCATTTATTTCTATTTCTTTAGGATTTGGATATATGATATTAGCTACCAGTAAAAGTAACTGAAGGATAGCAAAGAGGTGACTCTACCTTACATTTCTTGAACTGCAATGTGTGTGTAGTTATGAAGGAGTAATACTGTTTTTATGGCTACACCCACACAACACTTTGTATCCCTTTCTGTTTCTAAGATATACCACAGGCTGTGTATAAATGTTGAGTTCAAGGAGACATTTTAGGTACACACTATGAACAGATATTGCCAATATAGCTTTAATCAATACAGGGCTATTCTTGCTTTCTTCTTCCTAATGGAGCCCTCATACATCCATTACCAGACACAGAGTCTTGAGAGCTGGGGACAATGATCTCACTGGGGGTTTAGGGCTTTGCAAGGAAACCAACCCACTGACACAAACGCCATGTGGGTATCAGTCAAGCTTTCCCAGGTGATCCGTGTGTATACTAAGGTTGGAGAGGCTCTGACTCAAGAGAACCCCAGACTCTTGCCAGTGACTGGGTCAAAAATAAACATGGGCCCAATGTTTTACTAGGAACACCTCATTTCTCTGAGAGAATCACTTTCTCTCTCTCTCTCTCTCTCTCTCTCTCCCTC